CGGTCCCTCTGCTTTGCTAAGCTTGTTCTAAGTAGGTGCTTTAGACCACTGAGCCATCTCACCAGCCCTGGGTTCAATCTCTAACACTAAAAAAACAAATAAAAATAACTCTATGCTGGCCAACCAGACTTTTTGCAGAGTGCATTTTCCATGTGTGCCACCTATAGCGTAGAAGCAGTGGAGTGAGTACCTGCAGAGGAGGGCCGGTTTCCTTACCAGGATGCAGCCCCCTGGCCTCAGAAAGGGGATGATGAGGTCCACTGTCACTGGGTCTGGGCCCTGGGCCTGAAAGAACGAGAGCAGCATGACCATTCTCACGGTGATACTCTCCCTATCTATGTCCAGCCTCGCCATCCTGCCCCCTGCCCACTCCCCATGGACTCAGGCTGAGGCCACAAGCTACCAGGACAAGACTTCCTACACTTTAGCCCCCACAGATCTTTCTCGAATATCAGCTTCTGCTGCCACTGAGACGAAATATGCTGTACAAGCTCTGAATGTATGCTCTGAGCCATGGCCTGGGACAGGTGAGCAGAGACCCCATCCCCAGCCCTCAGTGGCTCCCAAACAGGGCAGTGAGTATCCTGTCTGGACTGCCCCCTTCAGTCCTGGCACCTTCAAGGAGGCATCCTGTCCCCTGGGAAGAAGGTGAGCCGTGCAGTTGGGGAAACATCATTCAGGCTTACTTCTTCGTAATTCTGGCCTTTGAGTAGAGATGGGTCACCTCCTCTGAGCCTTGCTGCTTTGTTTGTGTGTGGGGGACAATAATATGTATTTTAGAGGGCTAGTGTGACAGTGAACAGGAGTACATTGCAGTGTAAGTGCATTTTAGTAGTAGCTATTATTAGACTGTGAAGCACTCAGAGGCAGAGATTGTGTAACATACTTCTCCTATCTCTTAGGGCCTGATACAGGGTAGGCACAGAAAAGGGACTCAGTAGACTGACAGAATTGACTGTTTTCTATCTCACGTGGAAAGTGGCTCCATACTGTGTTCTGATGCTCATTAGAGGGCCTGAGCAACTTAACAACTCAGCAAGACCCTGTCTCAGAATGTAAAAAAA